TCTCAGCCCTGCTTAGCTCCTTATGCGGGGGCATCTGGGATAGGGGAGTAAACCCTGACTTCAAATCCGGGGTGTCCGACTCCGTCAGCCACGGTGCAATCGGACTAGGGGAGTAAACCCTGACTACAAATCCGGGATGTCCAGCTCCGAGAGGCGCTCTCGGGTCGGCCACTGGACTAGGGGAAGGAAAACCCTGAATTCAAACCCGGGCAGGGCGGGCTCGTTAGCCTTGGCCGGCAACCGTCCTAGGAGAGACAACTCCGAAATAAAACAAACCTTTTATGAAATTATGGGAATGGACCATAAAAAGGAGAGTGGTTTACCGGGACAGGGGATTCGGACCCCCAGTCCCCGGCGTGGTGGGGTTACCGTCCCGGGCCCTGCCACGTCGTCATCAAGTGACGGGCTGCTTGGCGCATGTACCGCAGGTGCGCCATGCAATATAGCTACTGCGAGGGCGGGCGCAGAGATCTCCTCTGCGTCAGCCTTGATTTATGGTGGTGGGGGGGCTCCCTCATCCCCTGTTATGGGGCGCGTTACCCCCGGGAGCGGTGGGGCTCCTTCCTCTCCCCTCCTGGGGCGCGTTACCCCCGGGAGCGGCGGTACCCCTTCCTCCCCTCTTATGGGGCGAGCCATACCCGCATTTGACTTCGAGCTGAGCTCGGTCATTGATCGGGAGCTAATGGGCCCCCCTTGCCGAGCGGCTGGGCCGGGGGAGGGGGGGGTCGCCGGCCTGTTGGACGGGGACGACGAGGGGGACGCGGAGATGTTTACACCCTCGTCCTCCGCCCGTTCGTCGGCCGCCCCCAGCCGGCGGAGCTCTATTGCCTCCACTGCCAGCGGCATGGAGGCAGATAGAAGAGATGGCCGCAAAAGACCTCCCAGCCACGGCACCTGCGTGGACTCGGGACAGGCGAAAGAGGGGGAGAAAAAGAGAAAGAGAGTAGTCGCGGCCGAGGCAGACGGGGCCAAAAGGATAGGCTCCCTCGCCTCGGACGAACCCTCCCTTGAGGGTCTTACCACCCCGGAGGTGGCGGGAAAGATCGTGGGGA